GTAGTTTTTAGTAATGTGTCATTACTTTTTTTTTGGTTAAGATGCAAGAGTGGGTGTTTGATTAATCTACGCAATCTTGTTATATGCATGAGTACAAACAGACCAAAGTGACAAGTGAATTGATTGGTAATGTTTGAAGTCCTGTTTTTCATGTGGAAAAAATTTGGTTTCACTTATTTGGGCTCAGAAATTTATGTATATCCCCACAGGCAAGAAATGGTTGTTCGTGGTAAAATTTCTGAGCAAAATTGACACTGAAAATTTCATAATTTGCCTGCTTATGAAATGAACAAACGAATGAAGAGACTTTGTAGCTGTCTATAATGTAAAGTCTTGTCAGTCAAGAGTGTTCTAGGTGTTTTAGTATTATATATGCATGTATATATATAGGTGGGCCCAATTTCTGTCCCAAGTACAAAACTGTTCTCAGGCCGCAAGATATTGCTAGGTCATTGCCTTGTATATAATGGAATTTTTATATAGACCAGGTAAAATATTTGGAGTCCCTTTTATATATTACCTGTATATCCTTTGTAGGACCAGTCAAGCTTTTATCTCCCACATACCAGCTGTAGGTTAGAAAAATATTTTTGTTCAATGGCTGTTTCTCAACCAGTGGACGAAAGCCTAGTCCAGTTTAGAGCTATTTCTTGTTTTCCTCCACTAATTTTGTACGTACATGGCCAAAGTTGACAGGTCTTGAGAGAAAGGTAAGTGGGCAGGGTCTTTATGATTATTTTATACAACGTTAAATTGACAGAAAGGCAAATATTTGCCGTTCACCTGTAGTGCGTTTTTGATTGAGGATTTAACTTGCTTTGGTGAATCTGTGGAATGTCAGAGACTGACACAGTTTTACTGAGTGAGCTGGAATACAATGTCAGGAATGTATTAATTGTATAACAAACAATCGCTAAAAAGGTAGGTTGGCTGTGTATTATCAGGGGAAGAAAATCCTATTTTTTACGCACGCACAGATTTTTTTTTTTGCTGGTTGATGTGTATATATTTTCCTGGTTTGCAACTTGAAGGGAAATTTTTGATCACTAAAGGTATTTCTTGACATTTACAATTTTTGTAACTAAGGTAAAGCACAGAATTCTAAAGTATGCTTGATAAGATTATTTTTGTAGATTATTTAATGATCTGCCTGTCCTGGAGTGGATTTTGTATAATTATGATTTTTTGTTTAATATTTATCTCTTCAGGTACTTATATAAGTAAGACTTTTTAACTATCTAAAGATAAGTTATGGATTAAAGGTCCTGGGTTAATGTAGTTTTTTTTAGGCATTTAGTTAATATAAAAAGCCAGTATGGAGATGTCCTACAGAGGCAAAAAAAGCCTCCAAAGATTTATTGCTGATGTTGCATTGTTTAGATGGAGAGGTTAGGTCTGGCAAACAAGAAATATTGATGTATTTTATGGTTCTGGATATTTGAAGCAACACTGCACTCATAAACCACATATTTAAAAGCTAGACATTGTTACAACAGAGTAATGGGAAGGAAAGTTATGCAAATATGAGAGAATTCACCGAAGAAAGCCAAAGAGCTCTCATGTGTATGCATCTGTAACTAGGGCAGAAATGTTGTAAGTGCTGTGTGTTTCCGCAAATTTTGGGGGGTTTGATTACAGAATGTCTAAGCATTAGGAATGACAGATTCCTTCTGTCTTTTAATTTTATTTACTAATTGAGATCCACCTCAGAAAACACCTCTATCTGGGCACTTTGCCAAATGTCTGGGGATCTAGTTCTCCAATCAGATACACTGTAGCTTTCACTTTCTTATAGGTGATACCAAATTTTCACCTTGTACTGGGGGAAATTAATGTACATCCCTCTCAGTCTTGCATAATCTGAAGTCTCTGATGAGACTGTAGCTTCACTGGTTTCAAGCCAAGGTCAGAGGAAGGGGTGTGTGTGTGGGTGGGGGGGGGGTGTTCACATTGGTATGAAGGATTTTCTTTTTATGAATTATCTTTTTACTCTAAAAGTAACATTTAGCCACCTTTATTTACTTAAAGATGAAATGGTATCAATTAAATATAAAAAGAGGTGTCAAAGATTTACAATAAAGCAAGGTCATAAAGAACTCAGTTATAAAAAAAATCTCAGTCATTAATAAAGATTTTTTTTTTGTAAATTCTAAAGAAGACTTTTCACTATATTTCTTGTATGGATATAGAGAAAAATCGGTTATAAGGAAGCAAACTTTGAGGTCCCTGTGAATTCTTTATATCCAAGTTCTACTGTATACTGACAGTGACATTTTAATGTTAAAAATATCTTCCACACTATTTACACTATTCACCAGTAATTGAAATTATCAGGGAATGGGGGGTCCATTTTGAAATAAATCATTCATCTTTGGTTACCATTAAAATCTAGAATGTACTTAATAACAGAATTATGAATTTTTTCCAGTTTCTTGTTTTATTACTGTAGGAGCAGTGCCATTGAAAAAAATCATAGATTACTTAAAGGAAACCATGAAATAACCTACCATCAAAATACACTATAAAAATAATGATTTATTTTGATGTATTGAGATTAAATGCTTTGGTAGATATTGCTCATATAATTCCAAACTATTGGAGGAGTGGCATTTTGACCTGATTTCCCAACTGACTCTATTTCTAGTCTTCCTGACAATGTTCAATGAAAGAGAGTACATATGAACTAAATATCTTGAATTAGTTTTCTTGTATGGCGTTTTAATTTAAAAAAACAATGTTATATGTAAAAATGTAACCATGCAGGACTATATTCCTTAAAATCCAAAACCGCATGACTGTTGGATATGGTAATTGTCCATATTAAAAATACCTGAAAAACGTTAAAAAGAATACCATTATTACAGATCATAGACTTATATACTAAGAAAGATTTTTACACTTTTATCTGATTTATTTGCAGAGAAAGTTCATCCAAAATGATACAATTAATGAAAGCTTTACAGGTCAGTCACATTAGCAGTTGTTGCCCCTGCATGGTGGTTGCTCACGAAATATTTCCTTGGTTTGCTGTGTGCTGTCAGCACATCTTTCGCACAAGACTGACTAGCGTGTATCTTGACAAATTATTTGTGAGTGCCTCATTGAACAGAGAAGACCTTTTAAAAAAAATAGTCATGAGAACTTCATCTCCCCAAAGGTCACTTGAGAACTCCTTGGATGTCTCTCTTTGGTCTATGTTTACATTTTCAATCCGAAAACAATGTGGGATATTTATGAAAATGATATACACTGTAGTGACAGATGCTAAAGCACAGAGTACCATTCGGATTACCTTTGCAGACAACTACTCTTTCAATACAGACAAGATTCCAGACAGATTTATTATGTTGAACCTCACTAAAATGAACTCTCTACAGAGAGGCAAACCCATTTTGACAGACAGCAAGATATATTCCACAGGCTTGTGACCACCCAAAATTCTACGAAAAGTGAAAATCTACATTAACATTTCCAAAATTTCTTGGATGTGTATTGGAAATCTGCTAGGCTGGTTTGATCAGAGATTTTTAGAAAATATTTTAACAGAAATTTTTCAGAAAATATTTGAACAAACAGAAGATTTCCATTTTGTTTTGATTCCAGCAAGCTCTGTTATGGTGGACAGATATTTTAGATAAGAAATTTATTATATACATGCATTATCAAAACTTTTAGATAATGAGTGGAATAGGATGAATTGAAAGAAGAAGCTCATTTTAATGGCTTCAAAATCCTGTGATAAAATTCTTGAATTTCTAAATTCCTCTGTGTCTTTCAAGAAATCATAATTTTGATAGTGTACACTGTATTGTTCAAACAATGCATTAATATTGGATTTGCCTGCAAGGATGAAGAGAGTAATTTTCTTCTGCCCACATTTCTTCTGCACAGTTAAGTCTCAATGTTCACTAGGTGAACAATTGCCCCAATGTCAAAATCTAAAATTTGGAGAAATTGTGATCTTGTCTTAATTCTCTGTTGGTCAGTTGAGTTGCTTTTGAGTTGCTCATATATCCTTCTTCATCATTTGTAAACTTGTGGAAGATTTTTACATTCCATTTAAAGAATTAACAATAATTTATTTTAACCACATTTTGAGGAACTTTGGACAAAGAAGTTGGACAAACAAAGTATTGAGGTCTTTGTCCACCTCCCCATTCTACATCCTTGTCACTATGGTAAATGTAAACAACTGACTACTACATTGAGGAAAAAACCCTTAAAAAGTAAATTTTTGATTGTCAGGGAAGCTGTAAATGCCCTTTAGTTCCTTGTATGGCAGCCCTTTTAATTGGTTTACACAGTAAAAATTTATAAATATTTTATTTGACAATGCATTTAAATTACATCAGAGTGAGAGGGAACTCGGAAGATGATACATATTGATGACCAATGATGAGTGGGCTGATCCCTGTAACAGCCTTACAGCCTTATTTTCTAAAGCATGAAGGAACATGGACTTGTAAAGCAGCCATGACAGTTATGTTGCTTTTCATACTGTTTAATAGAGTTGCAACCAAAAGTGGCATCTTTGGCATATAGTAGCAGCATTGGCTTCCCATCCCATATGTCAACTGACGGAGTTAATGAGGAAATGGATTCCGGGTTTTTCTATTGCAGTAGCAATATTCTACTGCTATAAAGATCAATGAAAAGCGAGTAAAGTTAAAAATACTATACTACAAACTGTTAAATCAATACATTATTTAGATCTCTCCAACCTTCACATATTGTCTGATCAGTGGGTGGTTTTATTAAATAATCCATCTTCAGTACTGTTGAGTAGGCAGTTTTTCTCTTGTTTCTCTTCGTCTGAATCCATACAAAGTTTTTTTTATGGCAGACATAGGAAAGAATTGGTTTTCTTTGTCGTACATTTGATGCCCTTCCTTTACAAAAGAAGACCAGAAATTTCAATCATATACGCAATAATAATGTGTCAAGTTTTTACACAAACTGTTTTGTCTTTGTCCATTAAAGGGTATTTCTGTTTATTTCAGGGTCTTTGGATACATGAAAAATAAAGATCTGAAAGCTTCTTTCAAGGTATGTCCAAAAAAAAAAGATGAAATGCTTATTGAATCAAAAGACTTTTCTAGGGTATCTGATAGTAGAGATTATATAATTCCAATAGAATTCTATCATGTCTGTAGTTATGATATTCCATAATCTATACAAACAAGATAAATCATTAAAACGAAATTAAGATTTGGTGCATGCTTAAAAAGACGATTTATATCTTCAAGAATCCCTTTTGTGTTTAGATTAAATTCCTTGATAATAGCTGCCATAGAAGCATATAACTGATCTAACTATTCATTTACATTATTGTAAAATAGGTATTCTCTAAGGAATGTTAAACAACATGTGACTATCAATTAGATTTTCCCCTATGTTGCTTAATACAGGTTTGACTATACATCTAAGATGGCACTTGCAGCATTTGAATAGTGTCGCAGAGTGATATCTTCATGCAAGCACCTACTATGACAAGGGACCTCAGTTTATAGTTTCACCCGAAGAATAGATTTCCACATTTAACATTGGATTTGAACCTGTTATGGATCAACTCTTTACTCCCTGACCCTAGAGCAAATGTTCTAACCACTGTGCCATTCTTATCAAAATACAAATCAATTTAATCTACATTTACTATGAATATTAGTCTCATATGATGATACCACTGTGAGATATTCCATAAATGTGTATGTTTTTGCAAACATATTTCTGAAAATTAGTGGGAAGGGATAAAAAAAAATTATCAATTCATTATCAAAAACAATGCTGAAAATTGCTTTTTAAACAAGGAGTGTTAAAATGCTTTTTTAAATGAAAAAAATGATGGTAGCATTTCACACAGAGTCACTGAATGAAGGTAAAATGTTCAAAAAATTGGTAGGAAATTGACTTTACACATGACAGGAGGTCAGTAAATACAGGAGTTGGGTAGGACAGGTTTGACTGTACTTATTTGGTGTTGAACTACACTTTGATACAATGCATATGATCAGGAAGAAGGAACAAATCTTTTCTATAGATTGTAATTCAAGTGAAAGTTAAGATGTGAAGGTGAATTCATTTAATTTAATGGGGGAATCTGCTTTCAGAATTTGGAGGGATTAAAAACACAACAAAGAATTATAAATATACAACATATTTAATTTTTGCAATAATACAGTTGGGGAAAAGGAGGGTATTTTTCTGCAAGTTGAGTAGAAAAAAGATTAGGGAGAGTCAACCGGGAGAAAGAAAGTACTCAGAATAGAAATAATCAGGATGGGGCTATTTACAGTAATATGGAAAAATCATATTGGACCAGAATGCTAATGGATTTAGATCCAGTAAGGCATGAAGTCGTGTGGGAGTTCCAACTGAACTTGTAGTAAAAAAAAATCAAGAATATGAAAATCCTGTGTGGAATTAGTTGCAATTTGCCGTGAACATTCAAATTCTATATTTGAATCATAAATTGAAACAGAAAAATAAGTCTTGTATGAAAGATATAAGTTGAATCAGTAATCAGTTATAAATTTGGAATTTTAGTAATTGGTCTTGCATACATTTATGGGATTTTTGGATGAATCAGTAAAAAATATTACAGATGTGGGATTTTGGTTAGATCAGTCACATTGAAGTCATCCATTGGGAATTTGGTTGAATCATTTTCAATTGTGAATCATATGGGATTTCTTCAACAACAACAGCAACAACAAAATTTCAATCTAGGTCTTTTCTATGACATTTTCAATTAAGTATTGAATTCATATTTTGGGATGTCTTCGGTCCTATTTCCTTCATGTTTAATGTGAATTTAGCGCCCGTCGGTTTTGGTGTGCTTAATAAACGTAATAGCCGTCCGTGACGTTGGAAAGCCGTTTGTGACGTTGGAAAATTAAATAACGCAAATAAACATTGCGAGGAAATAAAATGACAAATTAGTTTTTAATGCACATTTGCTGTATTTTATATTAATTTTAAAAGGGTAGTTTTTTTTTAAATGAAATTGAGTCAAAACAATATACATTTTTGTATTCCTAAATATTGAATATGCATGTAGTTCCTACTGTGTATTCTACCGTGCTGTGACAAGGTTTCATGTGTGTTATGGAAATTTGAACGTCGTGGATTTCTAATGGATTTCATAAAGAAAATTACACTGAATGTAAATATTATCTTTTAAACAACCATTTCAAAGTTATGAATCTCAAGAGACTTATATTCTGATGTGGAAGAATATGAGGTCTGTGACACAGTTTCATTGAAGTTGAGCAACTCCATCAGCTTCAAAACTTAAAACATTATGCTTTCTTATTCCTGAGACATTTTGAGCAATGTATGCAAACCTTCACAATTTTCCAACTAGACATTTACTCAGTACTTCAAAGTTAAGTAGAATTAGAGCCCAGGACTACTTTCTTTTTGTCGTTAATGCTAAGAGATTTAGATTAAAGTTTAATTACCGTATGACGTGTGACATGCACAGAGTGTAACAGTGATGGTGAATTGGATTCTACAACCGTGTGTTACTCAACCATTTTATTAATCTGAAATTGCTTGATGTGCTGAAATATGAACTTTTTTAAATACAGTAGGAATATTGCAACTTTGAAAGCAATTTAAGAAACAATCTTGCTGTGCAAGGAGAGATAACTCAAATTAAATTTCTATTAAAAGTTCAAGACAACTCTACCCTATCCAGTGATACTATAAAACTTTTTAAAAAGATATGTCACTGTAATATATGTTGATGCAGTTGATTCATTTTAATTATTTCAAATTAGAAATATTTATAGGACCACCTCATTTATTATGATTATTTCTTTATTATTTATTTTAACTTAGATGTACATGTATTAATTTCCATCTGTGTCCTATAAAATGCAGCTTTAAATTCAAGAATTTTTGATTGTATTTGCTTTTGTTTTGTACTCAAAAACTAAAAACTAACTAACCAGCCAAAGAAACAATCACTAAATAATAAGAAGAAATCAATATTTAATGCATTGGAATTAGGTGACATGTTATTTATATACCCCCCCCCCCCCCCCAAAAAAAAAAAATCGTGTCTCCTAGCTTTTATATACAGTATTATTTCTTACAGACATGCATATAAATTAACCTATATTTAACTTGTCAACAAATTTCGGAGAAGAAAATTTTGGCTCTGAAACTCGCAAGAGGATAAATTAGAACCAACCCCTTCCCAATGAATGTGTGTATTGCAATGAATATGTAATCTTTTTTATTTGTGTTGCTTTGTTCTGCTTTAGGGAATTAAAATCCTAGTATCATTAGGTCAGCAAAAATAATACATGTATGAAGAAAAAAAATATAGTAGCTGTTGTCATTAACAAGTATTTTTGCTTATAAATATCTATAAAAAGAAAATTGAGTTATTCCCCTTTTCAGCCATATTCAGAATGAAAAAAGTTTCTAATGGCTACACAATGAATTTCTTATTATAGCAATATGTTATCAATAATTTTACATGTAAAACAAGTTTTGAGTAATCTTGGTTAACCATTATTATTTAAAGTTTGTTTAGTACCAAATGATGTGTGTCAGTTTCATATAAAGTAAATTTCTCATGTACACATGTAAGCATCATTTTTAACAAGAAACAGGAATATGTAAGTATTCCTCATATACATTTTAATAATTCTGAAAAGAGAAACTGAGGATCTTTTTTTTTTTTTTTTTTTTTTTTGGCTTATATAATTATTATTTTGTAATTGCCATAAAATAATGTGTTAGTTTTTACTTAATATAGTTCCAAACTTATACACTTTGATTGATTAATCAACATGACATGAGTCATGCACAAATAAAACTATATTTGCACATTTCTGATACAGTGTATACAGTTATTACTAAAACTGTGTTGAAAATGGTTTAAATATCGTTATTTTAATAGTAGAAAGTTTTTTTTTTTAAAAATTGTTACCCAATACATGATTGAAGAATCACAAGTAAGAGTTATTGCCCTTTGCACAATCTTTTAAAGGATAAATGACATAATATATAGATAAATGAAAAATAAATCTAAAATTGTTCTTTTATAGACACATTATCCTTCTTATACCTTTAAAAAATCATTTCAACAAAATATCTTTTTTTGTTTGGGTATAATTTTTTTTAATAAAATGACATCACATGAAAGTTGAGATCAATGCATTGTTTGTTTGCTGTTAAATATGTCCCTTTTGAGAATTTTTCACCTTGTAAGACATGACCATATTCCAGTGGTAAAGGGCTTCAGCCTTATTTAGATGTAAAATTGGTACCCATGAACACTGAAGAGTAAGAGTTCAAATTCATGCAAATGCCTATCATATGACACAGGATCTTAGTTTTCATTATGGTATCCAAAGGACCCATGACTTTCACTACTAATGCTTGGTATTTAGTGAAGGAAAATTCACTACCTATATTAATTTATGTTTCTAACATTTAACACAGCACAAGGACTGGGAATTGAACAAGGACCCCCAAACACAAAGTGGCACCCTTCATTACATTAGGCTACTGTAACCAGTAAAATCTCCATACAAAGAGTATTACAGAAACTAAAATATGATTTTGTTATATATGTTGGAACAAAGTGAAAGTATTTTATCTTATTACAATTTCTAGATTGAATCTTACTAAATCACTGATCATTTGAGAAATAATGTGATTTTTAATTGACAGTTTAGTATTTGTCAGGAGTTATCTCTCTTTGCCCTTAACTCGAAAGAAAATCATCCATTCACATCTTTTGCTGTGTGTGAGCTGTCTTACTGATAAGTTATGATAGCCTTTTGTCACTTTATTTCCAATAATTTAATTAAATATGGGCAGGGCTCCTGCCAGTTCAGTCGAAACAGGTAATTTTTTAAAATTTGGTCGCTAAAGGCCCGAGAATATAGTTATTACTTGGTTGAGGTATGAAAGCAAATAAATGGATGATAATCGAAGTGTCAGGCTTATTTATTGGTCACATGTGTTAAAAATCTGATAACATCTCGCTGTGCTGGGCTAAGATGCCTCTTATCAAAAATGATATGTAACAAAAGCTTGAAAAGAAATGAATACCCACATACCTGAGTTCTCTTTTGTGGAGAACATCATAAATCAAAAGGTGTGCATTACTCATCAGGGTCTTTTTCAACTGGTTCATAAAAAATCTCAGTGGGTATATTGCTTGCTCTCAAATACCCTCAAAATAAGTGGTACTACATGAGAAAAACTAATAATCTGTCTTATGATTCATGTTAAACTTTTTTTCTCGATTTTGTCCATTGAATTACTTGGTGAATGATGTGTGGTATTTTTTCAGTGAAACAAGTTTGTAGACCTAGTTTATGTTGTTTTGATTTGATAGAAAAAAAATTCAAGTACATATAGATTAATTTGATTTGTTTTTGCCACTTTGTTATAACCCAATAATTGGAGAAAAAAACATGAAACCAGTATTTCATTATATGCTACTTAGTGTTTATAGTTCGTTAATTTCATTCATTGACCTTTGTTCTGATGTGGAGAGAAATCTGATTGGACGTAAACAGATGTAACTTCTGGGAAGTTGTAAAAGTCGGAGGTAGAGGATTGAACCTTAATTTGAGGATAATTCTCTCTCGTTAATTTCTACCTATTAAATGTCTTGCATATTAAACCACAGTTATTAATTATGGCATTATTCATGTTGTCAGATAAACAAATTTGACTTTAAAATTTCTCTTTAATGAATTCGTGGCTGAATTTTCAGTCCTCTTTGATCACAGCCTTGCACTCTTCAGTCTGTGTGAATTCTTTACTGAAGCATTTATATGTTTTTGTTAAAACTATATCTTTGTCCTTTGAAGCTTAAATTTGCTGTGAAATGAGTTTTTGTATATTTTCTCGGTTAACATTACATTATTGTAGAGCTCTACCTCATTAATTTAGCAGCAGTGGCCTAAACAATTTGACAGATTTAGTTATGTAATATTTAACCATTTTGGCAAGTAAAATAATTTTGGAGGTACTTTTCATTTTTTTTTTTTTCATTATATGAATCAAAACTATAGACACAGCAAGTATTCAGATTTTATATTGTATATTTGTCTATTAAAAACAGATGCAAAAAGGCATGATCGCGAAAATTAATCGTCGCGAACTAGTTTATCCCTGGTAAATTGCGAAATAAAGTCGTCGCGAATAAAAGTTGGTTTAACTTTTAAAAAAATCAAACCAACCCCCCACCCCCCCACCCCCACCCCCCGCCCAAAAAAAAAAAGCAACAACAAACTAACGTAGATATGTCATGGAATTTTTTGTTTACAGAAACTTTAGGACATTTGCACTGTTAAAATTTGTTTGTTAGTTCAGGTATAGAAAAGTCATTTTTCCATTCTTTTTTATTTTGACCACAACCAACAACATTGATTTATCATAATTTCTCAAGAGTGCATGTCATGCTTGTGGTTGGAGGTCAAAACACATGGTGGCTCAAAAGGTGTATGTTTAAAGCTTGTCGGAGCAGGCCCATTCCATTGCACCTGTTCAGGGGTTCAGGTAGAGAACTAAGAAAAACAAAACCATGACCAGCAACTGAATGATACAGCCTCATCATCTTTCCAGATTTGGGCTTTGATATATGAAAAAAGTTATATTTAATACAGGAAACTAAAAAACCACGAATTGAATCATTTTTGTAAATCATTTGAAGAAAGTTTCACTTCACATTTAAATGCTGATTAATGGGTTGCAGATCATGTTTTCTGTTGACCCTCGACTCAGCAACTGTTATGTCAGGAACTGAAATAACCTTTAATGTAATTAAATGATTTTAGAATGCTGTTTTTATATGAGGAGATTTGCAATTCATTTTGGTAGTTATAATTATTCTATAGATATAAATTAAGGTTATTAAGTTTAGAAACATGATGGATTGTTTCCTTTGATTTGATTATTTGGTGAAAGTTTCCAGTTCATAAACAAAATAGTAAAAAAAAAAAATTTAAAAAAAGAGTAAATTGAAAAAAGGTAAATATTTTATTATTTGTATTTTCATACAGACAGCTTATAGATTTTGGGATGTTTTTAATCTATTCATTAAAAATTTGGACTCAAATGCTTTTTGTAGGTTAAATTTTTTATAGTGTTTCAAATGATGTGAAAGTCGAATTTTCTCATCAAAATTGCATTTCTGTGATTGAATGGAAAGAACTTGCATAAAACTCAAATCACATCATGAAAAACTATCTTTGAAAAGGGTGGTGACGTAAGGTTTGAGATTCCATTTGTATTATCTGTGGCCAATCTCATAAGAATTTTCTGCTCGGCACCGTTTTGTATGTGTTCCTCCCTTGGCTTTTCTAACAGGTAGTCAAAGTATGGGGAACATCAAATCACACATGCTCCATCAAGTGACGCAAGTTTCAGCGAGCAATCGGTCACATTTGATTTACACATTCCGCCACCATTTTGACTTTTCATGATGCTGAAGAATGTCGTGTATGTAGGGGAAATCTATCATCTCTTACTTCTGATGTACATGTGTCAATGCAATGTAAGCTCTCCCTGTCTGTGAAAAGAAAAGGAGTTCTTCCCCCCTCTCTCTCTTTCTTCTCCAAGGTGTCCAGAACACTATAGTCATCCTGAATAAAAATAGACAGTCTGGGCAATAAGAAAGTAATTGAAGTAAATTGTTCCTGTCCATTAACTTGGTGTTCCTTGATCATATACACTGTAGAGTGTACAGCTCTGAGTGAGATGATACACTGTGACTAAGTGAGAAACCATCTCCACTATGTCTACAGGTATATGAACACACTAACGAAGCATTCCCCAATCTGTCATTATTTACCTACAAATTGTAACATCAGTATGTCACCTAGACTTAGCTTGTTCAAGTCTTGCACACCATACATCTGATTGTATAATCCCTGAAATATTTATTTTTTTCAGTCACTGCTCGAGTATTTTGATGTGTACTGAAAATATAAAGAAGATCAGATGAAGAGATGCCTCATATACAGTTTACCCATCAACCAGAGATACACCTGAGAAAGAGACCAAGGTTGTGGACTTGTCATCATAAAGTGGTAAGTAATTACTTTCGTAAATAATCTTGTTTGACTGTGGTTTCTTCCCTGCCACATGGATAGAACTTCTATTTGCTGGATTGGGTAAGAGTGTATAGTGCAGTATGCAGAAAAGCAGAAAATGTGCTCTGTTTTTTTGTATGCAATGTTCAAACTTTTTTTCTGAGGATAGAACTAGGGTAAAAAATCAGCTTGTGCATTGACTGATTTTTGGATTGCAGTTTACTCAAATAATTGAGAATTTGCAGAAGTGTGCTCAAGTTTTCTGAGCCTTTATTCCATACCTTTTGATAACTCATCAAAGAATGGTAGTAAAAAAGTCTGCCACAATAATTATGACAAAAAGATCGAAGACATCCCTCAAATATTCAACTTGTTACAAACAAGTACATAATGTAATTTTAGATGAGTTAATATGGGCGGCCCCACTCCATTGTTGGGTGTCCTGACTTTTGGTGGCGGAAGATCTTCAGACGGGTCTAACTCAATGCCACTTACGGCTTCAATTGGACCACATTTCTTCCCGCTGGAGACATCATGTCGTATCAAATTTGTGCAATTGAATAAAAGCTGCAAATTGTATGTTGACTGTCTGTTTAAGTAACATTTAGCACAAACTTGGTTATTAATAATCATTATCTCTCAACAAGATCGTCAAATAAAAGGTAATATTCGAATCAATATTTGCATCGAGAGGAACTCTACCCAGGACTTGTGAAGTGTTGATAATGCTTTTGTCTGAAGAGTCCCAGCAAATATGGCATGCTTTTGTATCGATGCTTTCACCCTTCCCCAATCAAAAAATAAAGAAAAAGATAATTTTTGATGAAAATACCTTCAAAATACTCTTTTTCAGAGGGTTTGTAATTGGCTTTAAACTGGGTATGAAGTAGGTCACACATAAGAGATAACATTAAATAAAGAAGAGGTTCCTTTCAGATGATATATTGGACATGAAAGATTTATGAGAAGCAAAACACCGCCTCATAATCACCAGTAATACTACATTTAAGCGGGATATTTACACCCCTTTATAGTGTGTTTGTCATTCCGGAGACGGAGTCCCGTAACATAGGTCAAGAGGTATTCACACGTGCAGCAATCAAAGCGCGCAAGCTGGAAAAAGGCATGAAAACTCGCAGATTACAATCCATATAGCTTACATCTATTTGTGAAAACTGATGTTCTCCGTCATCCAGGGAATTTACTTTGTATGCATAGATTACATGATTTTCATTTAGAAGTCCAATTATACGTTAAACGGAAATTTTGTCGTAATTCCTTATTTTGTATTATTTGCACAGAGAAATGTAAATCGCATATTTTAACTCTGGGCAAACCAATTTGACGAAACATTACATTTGTGTACAGACAAACACGGCTCGTGGGGGTTTAAAGAATCGGAGAAAAACCTGTGATGTAAATTGAGTCTAATTTTGTAGTTTGCACCTGAGTTGCACAGTCTAGAAAGGTGAAAAATATAAAAATCTTGGGCCTAAGCTAGTCGCCAAAACATCAACATCAAGTTTTTCCAATTTTGAAATTAAGGAAGTCAAACCACAGCTTTTGCATGATTTAGAATATTAGAATAATTATACTAGCAGACCTTACAAATACGTTTTTGTATTTCCAAAGTTATTATGCCATGAATTAAAAGATTTTACAAAGAATGTTTTGTCTTAAGTGTTACATTGAAAGGTTACCATGTTTAGGCTAAACAGGCATGTCTCTTTCATTCACACAAATAGGTGACATGTGTTAAAGTGTTGGCCCTCATAAATATTAGATATTTCTTAGCTTAGACAAGTTCAAGTTGATCTAGGTACAAAATTTCCATCTGTTTAAATGATATGTTGACCTTCTTAAAAGTAAACACTGCATGTTTTTAAAGCAAATTATCAAGGAGTAAGATAATTAAAAAAAAAAGAAATGTATGATACAATTTCAATTATACTTTTAGCTAAGCTAATTTTAATTTCATTTCTCGAATAGGTTGCATGTATATATTTCATTATATTTCATTTCAATTGATGAAGAGGTATAGATTTTTAAGGCTTGGCTTAAGAAGTTACAAATAGAGGAAAAAAATATATAACCTAAGTGTGCCCCACCCTTTTAATTCATTTTGGTTGCCTGTATAGACATTTGCGTGTATTAGGGGGGAAAAATAAAGGTAACACATAATTCAGCTTATCGGCAATGAGTTCTGTCATGCCTCTTGTTTCTCTATCTCTGTTTTGGCCACTTGTTGATTTTTGACTTAAAAAAGGGATGAAAGTGATTCTCCAGTGGAAATTGTTTCTTTTGTGTCAGGGAAAATATATTGATATTATTTGCAAAAAGATTTCTCTCAAAAATCTTCTGGCTTCAAAAATATTGTCAGTTGTAAAACTGACGGTTTAACCCTTTGCTCCATGTAATACCTGTTGGCGGGGCCAATTTCGCGTACCTGTTAAACTAAACAAGCCAGTAGCAGGCCAAATCAGGAAATACCACCAATTATTGATTTAAATGTAAATCTCCTCAATTCAAACTCTATGTTCCACTTAATCTCCAGTATTGGATATGCTTCCCGGGATGAAAACATCTTATTCCTGTGTCAAACATTCACGTACCTACTGCTGATAGGTAATTGCTGACAGAGAGGTTTTTTTTTAAACACTCTTTTCAAGTGATACCCCATTATGATAGCCAGAGTAAATTGTAAAGATATATTTAATCTGTTCCTATCTAGTTTATACCAAGGGATCTACCCAGTGTCAGGAAACTTGCAGTCTTGCCCACAGAGAAAAAAAGTTTTTGACCTACTTTCTTTTATTTAAATGCAATAAAATACTTCTCTGAGATTCTCAAGGTTCTCCAAAACGAATCCGTATTTTTTGCTATTGATTTTAATTGCAGATAAGGATTTTAAGGAAAAATACAGTAATTGCAATGACATTTGATGTAGCCATTTCAATATCAGATTCATCTATCGGATTTCCTTTTCAAAAGGTATTAAATAAATGTAATTCGGGAGATCGTCAAAGATATCATAGACAAACTCCTTCCTTTTGAAGTTCTTCTCAAACATTTATCAGTCAATTTTTCTAAAGAGAGGTGTAAAAGTAAGAAAAAAAGAAAGATCCAGCGATTGGAATCGGACATGCTTGTTTGCTTGCTAAATGTTGTGCCTCTCCGTTGGATGACCAAATTATTGGGTACTTTGTGTGAAGTAATGACAGTGTCGGGAGAACTTGCTTTTCCAGCTGATTTGATAGATAGTTATGCACCTAATGACTGCATGCTCCTCAGAAAAAAGAAACGGATAGTAAATGAAGCGGGACTGTGCATTAATCTCCAGGCTATTGAACTCGGGAGCTCTTCCTTATTTAGATTTTAAACTAATTAATTGGTATATCTTGTAAACAGTTTACGACATCAAGCGGGGGCTTTACAAGGATGTATGCCCATTGAGGTGGGACCATATAATTAAAGCATTTACTCCAAGTTTAGACAGAATGAATAAATTTTCACAAAAAAAAACCTGCTTTATTGTTTATTTAATGACCTCCTCTAGATAGGGAAGAGACGGGATCAGACCAAGATTTGGCTGCCTGATAAGGAGAGTTAATTGTTTGCTTCTAAAAGGAATAATCCAGGAGTTTCATTCAGCTAGGCAGGCTGTTGTACCCGCCAGCTGGATCAACAGCAGTAAGAGGTTGTCTTCTGGAACAGTATGGGTCCATGTACTACAAATTAATTTGCTCTACATTGCCGCAACAGACTAGTTAAATGGGTCATTGAGTGCTCTGATGAGCAGTTTAGACATGATGCACTTTTTACTAATATTACTTCTTCGGTCAGTTTTTCATGCACAGAAAGTTCACAGTATTGCAACAACTTCTCGCAAGACCTATCTTTTGCCACCAAGTTGTACAGAATGATGAAATACTGACATTAAAATAATAACTTGCCAACTTTAGGCTTGCTATGACCTGTGCTCATAGTAATTACCCTGGAAGATGGACATCAGACTTTTATGAGACCACATAAATAAAATTATATAGCCACCTAATGAAAATAACCAAATCTTTGGTTGTCAATAGATTAACTTGATTTTCTGAAAATGAAGGAAAAAAATGTTTAAAGCCAAAAAGGGAAAGGATTAATATTCTTGTTCTTGATTTACCCTATTGGTGATAAAGCTTATTTTTTAAATAAGTTATGCTTATCATTATCAAAATGAACTGTTTATGCAAATTTGTGAGTAATTGAATCATCCATCAACATCTTGTCACTGTTTTTTAAGTGTCAAGTATATAATCCATAATCCAAACAAAAAACTTCATATGAAAAGGGAAACCTGATGGAATGAAATATATTTTGCTTAAAGTTGGTGTATGTATGAAGATTTGTACATTGTCAGATCTTACAAATAGGGTATATACCACTACCAATTCTAACTTAACAGGTCTATAGGTGGTTCATTACACCTCATAAATATATGGTTGAATGTCCTTGCAAATACTATCATAAATATTCAAATTTTGTTGTTGTTCTATATGTTAATGTATTGGTTACTGTATAATTAAGTACAATTTGCGGTTTTCACTTGCAACCATTGATAAATTTGGGATGAGGAGACAATAGTTGGTGTGTAAATTCACAAAAGATTATTTTAGACCTGTATAAATGCCATCCATGCTCTGAATTCAAAATAACTTTTGTTGTGTTTTTGTTCTGTCTTATTTTTACACATGGTAACTTGCACTGGTGTCTTCATTTTCAACACGTACTAAATTTGGGGTCATTGGTGTCTTTCTAAACTCTCTTTGAAGAAAACTACAAAAAGGGCAAAGGAGAACACGAGTCCTGCACTTGTTTGTTTCGCTTTCACAAACATACAACAACGAGACAAATTTCATTATAAATAAAAAATTCTGCCAAGGAAGGCAAGGATATTGTATGGGTCTAAAAGAGAATTTGAAGGAGTAAAGTTTCCCAGATTCTGAAATTTC